TACATATGACACTTTTATTTATTTGCTAAATTTAACAGTTTTGGGGGAAAAAAATAATAAAACATACGGTATACAATGTGCCGTAACTTTTTTACAGGCCATGTTTTATGTTGTATTTTTTCCCAATATGTCAAATTCAGCAAATAAACAGTAACTGTGCATTACAATATGCAGACGTGTGTTCTCTCTAGAAGATGTGTACATATTTTTAACTTAGAAAATCAACAAAATGTAATTTGACCAGGGCTGTCAAAACTTTAGAATAATTCTTTGACCAACCAGGTGCCCCCAAACTTTGAATAACTCTAGACTCCTAAGATTTGCACTAATTTCAAATTCAAACATGAACATTTAGGCAGAATCTATTCTACAGGACATCAATATGATATGAGGTTGTGCAGTAGAACATTTATAGAAAAATAACTTATTAAATGATGGAAGCTTATGCCCATACTTCTTCTCCCTCTTAATGCTCTTTTCTGTTGCCTTCTGGTGCTTCTTTTTGACTTATTGGCCCAGCTGATCACACTCCTCCTCTTGCTCTTGAGTTCTGCCTGTTTCTCAGCTCCATTGTCATCAAGCCTGTTCCATTGCTTTATTGAAAGCCTCTCCTTCTGATTCTGGCTTAGTGAAGCCTTCAGGCTTTAGGACAGCTTCCTCCATGACAGTGCTTTCCTGCTTTATGCGAAGATCAGTGGCGGGGTCAGACTAGGAGGGCTCAGACTGATGTGTCTCCTCTGGGCTTGGGTTGCAGAGCTTAAACAATATGAACACTGGTTCTCCATCTGGAGAGACCAGCCAGCTAGATGCCTGAGGTATGTCTTCTTTTTGAAGCTTGGCCTGCTCCTCTTCATTGCTGAAGGACTTCTTTAAGTTCCTCCTTTTTCTACCAAAACGTCTGCACTGAGCCTCCTCTTTTAGCCTCAGTATGGTCTTTCCTGGAGAAAATAGCTTTCTTAGCAGCTCTTTCTTCCATTTCCTTTTTCTCTCTATGTGCTGCCATCTCACTCTCTCTCTTTTCTTTTTGATGTCCTAATTTTTTTTCCTCCCTTCAAAGCGTTTTGCGTTCTCCACTTCAATAAGAGTGAATCCGTCATAACTGTTCAGTGTGATTTTTGTTGACAGCGAACCTCCAACAGAGCGTTCGTTGTTGGTTCCACAACACTGGATGATCTCCAAAATCGCACAGAAAGTGGCGTGAGTACAGTGACACCCAACATCCCATGCATTGAGTATGGGATGAATTTGACTATGGCATTGATGTTGTCCGTACAGTTGGAGCAGGTTCATATTGAGCACAATATGCTCATTTAAACCATTTACAGTTTACTGCATTGTTCTGTAATGATTTACAAGTGAAATAAATCATTTTGAAATCAGATGAATCTTTTTGAATCACCCTGTATTTCTTTTTCTTCCCTCAACTTTCTTTCCATCTCTTTCAGTAGATTTCTACTTCCATCTGCCATTCCTCTTTCTCTCTCTTTCTCCTTCTGTCTCTCTTTCCATCTCTGTTCCTCTCAATTGCTCATGTGAGTCCTTTTGCATCCCTTTCTAGGTCTTTTTTAAATTCTCCTTCTTTTTCTTCTCCATTTCTTTCAGTACGCTAAAACCTTCAAACTCCTTCTCCTCTGTGCGTCTCTCCATGCAAGCTATTCTTTCTTTGATCTTCTCATTCTCCCTTTTCAGAGTCTCCTCCCTCTCTTTCCGTCTGAAATCTCTCTCCCTCTCTTTCTTTCTGCGGTCTTTCTCCCTTAGATTCCAGGTTATTCCTCTTGTTTTCTACCATTTTCTCTTTCATTTTCTCCACCTCTCTTTGTATTTTGTTCCCTCTCTCTGCATCTCAGATCTCCATCTCTTGCTCTCTCAGTATCTCTTAAAGTCCTCTGATTTGCTGAAAATCAGCACTACAAAGTATACAGAGAGATTTTTTAAATCACTGTAATTTTAAAGATTTTTACCATCGTTGAGAAAGAAAACATATTTTTACTGTTAATTAACAGGTTTTGTCTGGCACCCCTCTGCCTGACTTTTTACTGTTTTATAACAGATTTTTTGGTTTTCTACAGTCTGTCTATCTTGTCTCGTACATTTTATTGAGTAAGAGCTATCAAACCAATTAGAAAGTTCTATTTTTTTTGGAAAGTTTTATTTTATTTGGGCAACTTGCTCAGCAGTAGCCAATGCTATTGAAGCAATTTCCCTTAATGTCAGTTAAAATAGGATTCAAACGAGTGTGTTTAAACAAGTTTATTTTGTTCGTAGGCTTTGCTCAGACAGGTAGCTCAAATCACATTTTTTGGCATATCCTTTTTGTACAGAATAGATTTTTTTCAGTTTGAATGGCAAAAAGTTGCACATTTAAAAACAATAGTTCTTCAAGGCTTCTTTAGTAAAGATAATGGTTCTATATAGAACCATGAACATGCAAAGAAACCTTTGCATTATTAAAATTGATGGAGAATGTGCTCTAGATGGTTCTACATAGAACCTTTATGAAAATGGTTCTGTATTGCACCAAAAAGCGTTCTTCTACTGGTACAACTTTGACATTATAACAATTTTCTTTTGGTTGAAGATGGTTGAAGAACCTACTTTTTTAAGACTGTACAGGAAATTCAGCTTTTTCCAATCACATTCAAGCCAAATCTGATTTAAATTTCGCAAACTAATGCTAACACTAACTCTCCCTCCTGAGCTACAGGAAAAGGAATATTAATTTTAATAATTTTGTACCATAATAATGGTATCAGGTATCAATGACAACACACATTTTACTATAATTCATAGAAATGGTGCATTGTAAATGTCAGATTCATACATCTTTACTATCCAAAATGATAGTAAAGTCACACATGAGTTTTTCTATGTTGCTGATAGTAAAATAGTGGTATATTAGAAAAGAATATGTTTTCTGGGAATATTAATTAGTGTTACAATGTCCTGTATGTACTTCTACAGCATGACTGGATTTTAAAATCTCAAAACTATTGTAAAACAATGTCTCAGGCATCATATCAGCTTTCTGTGAGGAAGCATTTAGAGACATTAAACTCTTCAGACATCTGGTTCCTATCACCATCACTGTGAACAGTTTTGACTGTAAGTTTCTCTAGAATGCAGAATTTCATATCAAACCACTTTGAATGACTTTGTTTACATCTTAACCATTTAATTATGCAGAAATTTTGAAAAATCATTACAGTTCTCCTTAAAGGGCTTAACCGCCAATTCTGACTCAGAAACTTTCTCTACATTGCATCATTTCACATGAGACCACCCTGAGTGACTTCTATTTTAACAATTTAATCATACAGAAATTTCTGTGGTCTTTAAAATCATTGCATTTTGAGAAGAATTTCGCATGATCAGTGATCAACAACTTTGCATTCACACTCTTGTTGCAAATAAATTTAGAGATACAGGAAAAAGGTTTTTTTTTCTTAAGTAAACAAACAAATATTTACATAGCCATGGGATGCAGGGATGGTGGGGGGCTTCAGTGTTATCTGTCAGCCCAGGAAAACTGCATATAATACTTTGTTGACAACTGTAAACTTTATATGTAAAGATTTTCATCAAAATGCTTTATATTTATTTGTATCAAGGAGAGGTGTTAGGTCTTCTATATGTAAAGTCTACTTTCAACAGTGTACATCGTTAAAATAAAGAAAATTAATCAAAGTGGTGTTTATCTAAATATACAATATATACATGTATTGTATATTTATATTTTATACATGTATTATTTATTTTATCTCATTTAGTTGTCTCTGGTGACTAGGCAACATTGTATTTCAATTAACATCATATATTATCCATTAAGAGTGATCTCTTTATCAATCGACATTCTCTATCAGACTCTGGGCTTAAAGCAAGCGCTTGTTGAATAACACTGCACACATTGTGACCCCTGGTTACCATCACCACAACTCTAATCAGTACATTTCTCTGCAATAAGCAATTTTACATCAAACCGCTCTTTTTATTTTAATCTCAGTGATTAAATTATGCAGATTTTTTTTTAATTGGTAGAATCCTGCTTAAGGGTTTAAGCATCATTTTGGCTGAATTGCCATTTTCCTCACTATCCAACACCACCAGCAGGTCTACACGTCTTCTGAGTCTTTATACGTAATGTTGACAATAGTAAATATATGTAATGTGATGATGGGAAAATATTTGTAAATCTAGAAACAAGAAGTTTTATTGGGGACTACTTTGCCTTATTACACCCAACATGTATCTCTCCACCATTAATGGATTTTAAAAGTAGGCTACATTGCAGCCCAAAAGTTTATCTCAAAACTATGGGCATCAGGCAGTGTATTCATAACCATTTTCATGTAAAAAATTTTAAACCTTTCCAATTGGCTTATGGAGAAATTTAGAAAAAATCGGTGGAATTGCCCTTTGAGGAGAAGTTAATTGAGGATTCAAAATTAAACGAGTACGTTGCTAGGACAACGCACGGGACTCATATGGTGATTGGTGGAGCCTCTCCTAAATAACGCTTTTATAGGACTGTAACGGACTTGAGGTTGCCAAGACAGAAAAACTCCCTACAGCAGAGGTGACTACAGAAGCGTAAAGCTTTCTTGTGTAGAAATACTGCCGTTTCAATGAAACAAGGACTCAAGAAAAAGTAAAAGCAGCTAGTCTAATATCAGTCAGCTTGAGTAGGGTTGAAAAATCATAAAGCTCCTCAGTCTGCTCAGTTAAATACAGAACTACACTTATCTTGGTGGAAATTTAGCAGAAAGTTGAACTAGGAGCTCGTGTGTGCCTTAAGTGGAACGTAGATAAACACAGAAAAACGTGTAGACTAATATACTTGACACAGAAAATCTGTAATCGGTCCAGTCTTTAGTTTTCTTTAATTAGGCTTAGGTAACCGCTGCTGAAGAGTAGCTCGGAATCCAGTTTGCTCAGAACTTGGCAACCCTGCCTCGAGCGAGCGCGCGCGCCCGTGTTAACGCTCTAGCAGATGGCCACGCGATGATGTCAGTTGTCAGCTGGCCAGTGTTCAGGGAGACGCGGATTTGAGTCTGAAAGAGTGCGAAAGCTGCCGTCTGGGCCACTCTGACTGTTACACTCGCCAGCAGCAGCCCTTTCACATAATCCGAGAATGTTTTTGTAGTTTTCATAATCCCCGCGCGCTCGTGTTTGGCCTCGCGCTTTAAAGCGTTAAAGTTCAGATCGTAAACTGCTGTAACTGCCGTTAAACTCAGTGCCTTTCATGATGAGCAGCGTTTCCAGGTTCTAGGTAAGTGTTCTGTTTCTTTTTAACATAACTCTTTCATGTATTGTGTTATCGGATACGAATAAGATTGATTTAAATGCTCAAATCAATAGGATTCTTAAAATAATGGAATTTAAAGGGGGATTCCACCTATTTTTCAAAATTTCTGCATAGCTACGTCTTTGAGATGTAAACAAAGCCGTTCAAAGTGGCTTGATGTGAAACGCTGATTTGTTCACACTGCTGGTGATAGAAACCAGAGGAGTTTAATGCCTCTAAAAGTTACCTCACAGAAAGTTGTAACATGAAATGGTTACAAATGCACTGCTTGATTCCTGAGGCACTGTTTTATGATCGTTTTAAAACCTATTCATGGTGGAGAGATACATGCCCCCCCCCGCCTCCCCCCACATCACCACCGCTGTAAAGAAATTGTTGGCAAGTTTCTTTAGAATGCAGCATTTCACGTCAGACCACTCTGAATGACAGCTCAAAGATCAAATTATGCAGCAATTTTGAAAAAGTTGGTGGAATTCCCCTTAAACACAACTTTGAACTAAATAGGGCTGTTGCAATAACACAAAGTTGGGGAGTTTGTTTGCTTTGCTGATTCTCATGTAGGGGAAACGATTTCAGTAAGTCCTGCACTACTCTAAAGTAAAAACATTATAGGCTATAGCTTGTAAGATCCAGCCTGTAAGATCCCTGCTTTTCCATGAAGGACTTATTGCACTAATTACAGCAGTAGGAGCTGCTTTTTGCATTGTGGGAAAGTGTGTTGCCTTCTGTCTTTGCTGTAATCCTCCAGCAGCAGGCTGTATGTGAGCTACAGGGTCAGGGTAGCCTTCCTTAGCCCTCACTAATACTCTCGCTAAGTCCATTTGCTGAGCACACGTGGAGACACTTGGAAAGCCTATTAATTTGGAGGTGAAGTCTGCATGCAGGTTGCTGGGCAGCTGTGTGGATGATGAAGAGATAAACATTCAACACAGGAATGTCTTGTTGGCACCTTCGTTGGGTATCTGAGGTGCTGGATGTAGTTCTGAAGGTACAGTGCAGTAGTTTTGATGCTTTGGCTCTGTACTCAAGCACACTGGATTTCAAATAAAACAATACAGACTCTCAAGCTTCAGAAGGGTACACTCATTGAGTGAACTGTGAGGGAATTTGAGACACAGTCCTCCTTTTTGAGTGGACCAACAGTAATTGAACAATTGGCTGTTCCCTTATTTATTACTAAATGCACAAGAGACCTGCTGAAAGGTCTAGAGGTAATTCTAGATTTGGCATTTGCATCTGGAGACTGTGGCTGATGCCTATCAGGGATCCATATCAGGGACATGAGGACCCCTATCAGAGCGATGGAAAGAAGAAAGTGTGGAGAAAACACTTTTCATTGTATTGTCCTGCAACCTTCTGCACTTTCAGAAATACAGGTGACAGAAGGTGTTCCTTGGAGCAGTGCCATAGAAGAAGCACTTGGCTCCCTAAAAAAAAAAAACTTTCAATGGGTGATTCATTCAGGAACCATTTTTTGTTAACTGGATGTGACGTAAGGTACATAAAAGATTCTTTTCCATCATGCCCATATTAGAAACTCTGTCTAAGCTGGATCTCTCTGTGGCAAAAATGAATGAGATATTTGAAAGTCACTACTCTTATGCCCTGTGGTAAACAAAATCATTATAAACCCAATACATTTTGTTCTATCTACATGTCACTAGATCCTCTGATTTATGAGATTGTTATGGAGTCAAAATATGAACATTGCTACATCAGTGCTAAGACCCAGAGTTGCTAAGATGGGCATGATGCTGACTATGACAGACCAATTTTTTTAAGTCATATCATTGTTTGAGAATGTATGGCAGCAATACAGTGGTAGGATGAATTACCTTAAGAAGAAGCACCTTAACTGTGTGGACCCAAACAAATGGTGAAAAACTGATTTAGATGGTCATTCACTTCGCAGGAGGACAGTGGCCCAGAATATATTATACTACTAAAGCAACTTTTCAGGAACAAAAAGCAGAACTGAAATTTACTGCATGATAGACTGTGGGAGATTATCCAACATCTGGTGATATCTGTGTATTGGTCAATCAGAACAGAGCTCATTTACATGTATCAGTCATAAAATTCCAGTAACAAAAACAGCCTGTTAATCCTAAGGGTTAAAGAAGAGTTGGAAAATGGTCATATGAAATGAATTAGGCTTGTTTTGTGTTTTGGTAAACAAATCTACACATATGTTATAAGTAAACCTCAGGGGGAAAAAACTAAAATATATATATATATATATATGTGTGTATGTGTGTGTGTGTGTGTGTGTGTGTGTGTAGGATTTATCTAGTTATGTATAGTTAATTTATCTAGTTACGTATAGTTTGTTAAAATATAAAATAGTTATAATTCCTACATGCTTCATCATGCTCTTCTTGGTGAAAAAAACAAGCATTGAGCTTGATTTTAATAAAAACAATTGCATTTAAATCACTGATTGTGGCTTAGAAGATGGATGGATTGATGGATGGATGGATTCATTTAAATCACAATCACAATATTGGTAAGACAAATCACAATTAGAAATTTCCCCCAAATTGTTCAGCCCTGGGGTGGGTATTTAAGGGGGTTCCTCTTCCAAAGGGGATTCTTCAAAATTTCTGCATGAAATTAAATATCTAAGATGAAAACAAAATCATTCAGAGTGGTTTGATGTGAAATGCTCCATTCTAGAGAAACTAACCATATCAGAATTGTTTATAGTGGTGATAATAGGAACCAGACATCTGAAGAGTTTCCTTTAAAAGCTACCTCACTGAAATTATTACATGAAATGGTTATGAACACATTACCTGATGCCTGGCTTGTTTAGTGATAGTTTTGATAAAAGATTTTGGCCTAAAACATGTTTTTTTTTAAATACTAGTAATAAGGTATTTAATAATAGGGCATTATATGACAAAACAGTACCTGATGATAAAACTCAGAAGACATGTATAGGTTCACTGTATAGTAAATATGGCTATATATGGGTTGCAATCATTGTAACCCCTGGTTACTATCACCACCACTGTAAAGAAATCCAAATCAGTATGTTTCTCTACAATGAACCATTTCACACCAAACCACTCTGAATGACTTTGTTTACATTACAATGACCAAATAGTACAGATATTTTGAAAAATTGAAATTCCCCTTTAAAGTGAAGCCCTAAAGAGGGTCAGATCAGGTCAGAATCAAAGGTTCATACATCAAGATTGTATACTTACTACCACTGTCAAAATAAAATCTATCTTCAAAATAATATTAACTCAATAATAAGAAAGGGCAAAAAAAAAATGTTATGAGGATTTGTTACGAGAGACATAAGGAACAATTTAAGCCATATTGCATTCCTGACACTATGTTGTTGTAGTGACTCATGTATGATTATATGGTGCTGCCCTGCATGTGAAGTTCTCATGTGAAATTTTCTGTTTATATTGTTTCTGCCACTGAAGTGGAAGTATAGCGGAGCTGACCGTGGTTAGTTGAGGAATGTGACCTCATGAGATGCCCGTCATCATACTGCTGTCAATAGACCAGCTCACTTTGAAGCTACAGTTCAGTGAGCTTGACAGAAGGAGTCAGCCTTTATGTTCACTGTTTGTAGTTAATCAAGCATTCTGAAGCCCCCATATCTACTGATGTTGATCACTAATGAGCTTTAAAGAATGTCATTCAGGGACACTGACAGTATGCTGGAGTAAAGCAGTGAGCTGGATAGTTTCATCACTGAGAAGAGGATTGAGAAATTAGGCAACGTTTAATATGGGTGATGTCTTTGATGAATGGGGTCAAAAGAATCATGTTACATTTATATAGTTTGTTATATAGTCTATTTTAACGTGTTATAAGTATTTTTACAAATATTTAATCACAACACATTCCTTAGAAATTAAAGGCCATACAATTGTGAACAGGTCCAGTAAAAATACTTGAATTGGGCAGTGCATGTAGAAATAAGCAACACTGTTTACCACGTTAGACTTTTCCCTGTAGTGATGCACTGATCTTATGTACTGACCTTATGAAATGGACCGGATATTAGTCATATGTGACCGATCCATTTCAGTACTGTTTCTTAGTCTTTGGTCATTGTAATATTGCAACAGTGCATTTTTATAAACCTTTTAGAACAGTGGTTACCAGCCCTGGTCATGGACGTCTCCTTTCCTATGCAGTCTAGTTCCAAGCACAATCTGCCACACCTGCTTCAGCTAATTAACTTCCTCAGAAGTCCTTGATTGGCTGGATCAGGTGCATTAGCCTTAGGTAAAGAAGGGAGCAGAACATTAAAATGCTGGTTGGAGCTAAACTCTGCAGGAAAGTAGAGCTCCAGAAGGAGGGTTAGTGACCACTGTTCTAGAACAATATCATTTTGAAAAAATTCATAATCCTAAAAAGACTGTTGGTGTATGTCTTCCCAGCTAATGCTAAACAAGACCTTATTCAGGAGGCCATACTACAAAGCTGTGTTCATGTTTTGGTTGGCTGTTTTCAGTTCTGTTTCAGGCTTTGAGATGAACCCAAATGAACTTTGTTCAGCTACAGGCTCAAGACTAAACTAAGCTGAGCACAATGTTAGCTTACAAACCAAATCCAGTTTGTATTTAACATGTTAGACTGTAGGAATCTGTCAGCAGGTCTGCCTTTCAGTTCATCTCTCTCAGAAGTAAATAACTAAAATGTTAGTTTCATAGTACTTGCCAAATACTTCATAGTAGTTACTGGATAAGCTTAAAGTGAAACCTACTGACTGACTGATTTCGTTACAGTGGGGATGATAGGAACCAGGGATTGCAGTGTGTACAGTGCAAATGTAGTCATTTTATTTGCTATCCAAAACATCCAGTGAACCTGCATGTGTCTTCTGAGTTTTTATATGTCATGTTGATGATGCTAAAATAATGATTAATCTGAGAAAATTTGTTATCTTCGGGGACTATTTTGACTTACAACACCTTGCATGTACTTCTCTGTCAAGAATAGATTTTAACAAATAAATTTTAAAATCTTATCTTAAAGCTTTCGTAAACAACGTCAAGTGTCAGGCAACATATCGTCGCTGTCCAAAGAAAAACATGTATCTCCATTTTTGTTGATTTTTAGTTTTCTGCATTATTTGAACACAGTGGCTCTCCTTTACAGCAAAAATTTCATGATGAATGGATCAATAGAAATGCTCTAAAATGACTTGGAATGCAGTAACTTTACACTGACTTTCTTTAAAAGTAAAGACAATTTTGCCTTCTCCTGTAAGGTTACCATTTTGGAGATACTTGTTTTTTTCTTTGGACAGTGACGATATGCATAACAATTTCATGTTACAGCTTTCTGTGAGGGAGCTTTTAGAAGCATTAAAGGATTCAGATGTCTGGTTCCTATCACCACCACAATGAACAGTTTCGACTCTGTAAGTTTCTCTAGGATGTAGAATTTTAAACCAAACTACTTTGAAAGACTCTGTTTACATCTTAATGGTTTCATTCTGCGGAAATTTTCAAAAATCATTCTCCTTTAGGGGCTTAACCTCCTGGTTATGCAAACTTGATATATGTTGGCAGTGTAAATTCATGAAGGCGATCCCTCTGCATGTCTGTTTACCTAAAACAGTAGAAGCTACTGAAGTGCTGAAGTAGCTAGAAGCTACTTCATGTAATGAATTTAGGTATTGGGCAACATGATTTTCCAAATATTAACGGACTCAAGCCTAATGGTCACTGCTGGACCATGGCTGCGTGCCCAGTGGAGAGTGTGTGTGAGTTTTTAGGGGCTCTGATGGGAGAGAGGCATCAGCATGCACACACACATGCTTTGCTGGCCTCCTCTGCTTTTGTGGAGCTTCATCCCCAAACAAACCATTTCTCAAAGGAGTAGCCATGGTAGGGAATGCCTTGGCAACTGTGGGAAAAGTTTATGACATGCAGACTGGGGCCACTCGGAAAAATAGGCTTATCATAAAATGATTTTTATGCGATGTGTGCACTGTGATTAGGAAAATTGTGCTTGTGATCCTACACACATTAAACGGGATAGAGTTTCAAATGTATTTTGGGGTTTTCTAATGGCTTATTAGCTTGCTGTATAAGCCATGGTTCTCTGCCTAGTTGAGGCCACGAGCTTTTAATGGTAAGGGTGGATAAGGGTACCTATTTTATAGTACCACTGTGTGTGAAAGAATGGAGCATGCAAATGTAGTAGATTAGGGGGCATACATGTTCACTATACGGGATATTATTTTAACACGCTATTTTTATCCGCCAACCAAAGTAGAATTCCTGTCAGTGAAGTATTCCCAAAATACTCAAGAGAGGTTGGGCGTCTGACTCAACATTCTTGGACATACAGTACATTAAGTCTTGATTACACAAAGGAGAAGGATGTCTTCTGAAGGGGTCAGGAATATGCATAGAGCAACTTTTATTCCTGATCAGCCGTTAACCTCTTAAAAGGCCAAGGCCTGGCAGCAGGCCCAAGGTTTTATTATACACTTCTATAGCCTAAGAATAGCTCAACCTGTTTGCATTGGAGTCCCTGTCTTTACTGAATTATAAGCTTTAGTGTGTAATAAGTCTGGGATTTTAAGGGGTTAAAATCTTGAAGACAAGTGTGGGAAAATCATCTGTGATGTTACAATGAGAGACATCAAGATATTTAGAGTGTAGACAAATGTAATCATTAATTGTGGTTAATATATTTTTTTCTGAAATGTATTGTAATAAATCCATACATAGGCTTCAGCTTCACTAAAATATACGTAATTAATGATAGGCCTTTATATAAAAATGCCTTAAGCTTTTAACATTATGCAAAACAAACATTCACACATAACTGGTAATATACAAACATACAGTGCTGTGCCTGCCATTTATTTTTCAGCATCAGGAAAAAGGCAAGAAAACAATTTAACAGAAAATTGCAAAGAAGCTTTAGCAACTTAATATAATAACACAATTATTCTGTTTCTAGCATGTCCACTCTTTGCCTTTATTACAGATTCCATTTTTTTCGGGAGACTTGCTTTCAGTTTTTCTCCAAAGAAATCTCGAAAGGTCAGTCTTAGAAGTTGGTTGCATTCTAGACTATGGGGTGGTCAGTCCGTTGGTCTGGAAACACCCACAGCTTATTTGTTTGATTTGTAAAGTTTTCCTTTTCTCAGTAATGGTTTCTTGACAGCTACACATCCTTTCAGACTCATAGTGTTGTTGTCTTCTCACAGTGGAAGAATGAACAGAAATCTGTGGATTTTTCAGATCTGAAGCAAAAGTGAAGTTTGATTTTCTCCTGTGTTTCGAAGATCAAAGCTTTGAATGAAGTTTATCTGATGGTGACAGTTAATCAGATCAGACCAGGTCTTACATGGTTGTTAGGAGTCCCATTTTTTCTGCATCTTTTAATAATGTTTTGGAAACTCCTGTTTTTTCCACATATTGTCTACATTCTATGTACAAGTGGATTGTTTGAAATTCATTTCCTCTGAAATATCTCCTGAAAAATGAATAGCTTTTACTCAATAGCTGGGAATTAAATAAAGGACGGTCTTTGACTTTAGCACAGTAGTGCACATGACATGTGACTTAATGTAAAAACTTAGTGTGTCCAGTGTTCAAACAAAATAGGATTTTTATAAAGTTTGCGCTGTAGCATAGTGGGCTTGTCATGGAAGACTGTAAAAGAGAAGCAGTTTGCCATATGTGCAGAACAATGAGAGCAGACGAAACACATGGCAATCAAACAGACCTCGCTTCCTCAACCTGCATCCTGTGTTTGGGGGAAGACAAGGTAGTGAGTGGTGAGAGAGTGACTGAAGGGTTTGGGGGGCTGGAGGGGGAATCCAGCTTCCCTCAGTCCTGCCAGAAGGGAAGTTTTGGAGAAAGGGGAAGGGCTACAGGTGTTTCCAGTGCTCATAACTATCTGTTGTGGTACATTACATGTTGTAGTCTGACCATAAGAGAGATTTGAAGATTCCGTATCATACAGTTTTCTTGTATTTTTATATTTTTTTTCTCTGCAGTCCACATTCAGTTATCTGCAGTCCATATCCAGTCAAATTACATGTTTTGTTGCTTTGCTAAGTGAAAATAATGTATCCCATCCTCTACAGGGAACAAACTAAATATAAAGTTATTTATTTATTTATTTATTTGGTTATTGAACATTTTAGTGTCTAATTTTTATTTATTTGCTGAGTTTAACATATTTGGGACAAAATAGAAACATGAAGCGTTGAAAATGTGCCATGATTTCAGCAAGTCAACAAAATATGTCATTTGACCAGGAGTGCCCAAACTTTTGCGTACAACTGCATATGTAAATATGTTGTTTTTTATAACATCACTAAAACATTGAATTCAAAACAGATTTTGCAGCCTGGATTCCGCTTATGATGAGTGAAAGGTACACTGTTTTCCATACTAAAAAGTTAGGAAAGTTGGGTTTTCCATGATATGGCTCCTTTAAAAAATGTATTGGGGAAACGTCTGCTCTGAAGAATGGCTGAGAGAGGAAAGAATGGAAAAAAAGAGCGGAAGCTTTCCTTTTTAATACCAAGCTCTTTCAGCTTTTCTCAGTGCTGATAAAAAATGTAAGGATATGTACTTGGAGACACAAAACACCCATTCATGAAAAGCTCAGTGTTATAGCACAGCTGTGTTGAAACAGGAAACGCTTCTGCTCTTGATCATTATAGCTCTTCCCTTTTCCATTCATAGTTAAGCATGACTAAAATAATTTGTTTACCTCTCTGTAATTAAAAAACCTTGACAATAAGCATTTGTCATTAACTGGATGTACACATTAAGACCAGAGATATATTTGGAAAGTAACTTTCTCCTTCACTATTTCAGGTGATTCAGTCCTGCAGCTGTGCATCTGGCCTGAAAAGCAGTTGCTTAATTATCTGAAGAACTGAGGGGCTGTAATGGTTATCCAAATCAACCTCTGAATTTCTGTCAGGCTTTACTTCTTTGAACGATGTTCACGGGTGGCCTTAAGTTTCCAGTGAGAGGCTAACCCTCTGTTGTGTCAGACTGAACTCCGGAGCCGATATGGCAGATCCCTCTGTCTTCGTAACAGAGAGCGTGAGGCCCACCCTGGCAACGACAGACAGCTGTGTGCTGGAGGTCAGGAAGAATTATGAGGTCATCCCGTCAGTAGCCTGCTCCATGTGCTTCATACTGGGAGTTGTCTACTGCTTCTTTGGTGAGTCAGTAGTGATGATGGTCATCTGAGAAACCTCACCCCATAAACTCACACACCCACACTTATTTGCTGACCATGTGAAATTACAAATGCAGTTTAACCCTTCTGTTATGTTTGATTAATATGGCCATCCATGAGACAGTTAAAAGAACTAAAGTAGTGTAGATTTTGTTTTTTGTTATATTTTACAACAAAGTTACATACACTTTACTGCATCAAGATATTGTTTTTATGTTCATATTCCATAAAATATGATAATAATATCTACCTTCATCATTAAAGATAGCAGATTATGCATCAGAACCAAATGGCAGTGGCACAGCCTTGCGTTTTTTTTTTAATTCAGTTATTAACCACAAATGTGGTTTATACTGCAAATAATTGAGATAATGAATAGTTATATTAGCCATTTTAAAAATGTGTCATTCATAATTGTCCTGGTAAAGTCGATGGAATGAATGAATATAACCCATAAGCAGTACATTCATAGCTAAGTAGAGAACAGAACACAAGGGTTAAGTTGAGAATAAAGGGCCGAATATTAGGCAAACCTTCAATTCCCTGTTGACATTCAGCGATAAACATGTAATCCCTCTTTGAGTATGAATTAAGATTGGCATTACCTACCTAGTAACATGGGTGAAGAAGCCACCCAGGGTAAAAGACACTGGTCAAATGATGGGGGCAATTCTAATCTCAATACATTTACTGAATGGCTGTGGTCTAACTAATTCCATTCCCTCAGCAATTTTTAGGTCGGTTGATCTAATTTTATGTAATTGAAAGATAGTGATTTATGCATTTATTCTAACTTGTACCAGAAAATGGGTCAAATAAATGATTACATGGGGGTGCAGAGAACAAAGCATTTGGTTTTGAGCAGAAAAAAAGTTTTTGTTTCTTCAAATATGAAAATCAAACATTTTACTCTTTGAGTTAAAAGCCCCCCCATAGGACAAAGGCCCCTTAAGCATATTTCTCCAGAAATATTATTTACTTAGATTTTCATCATAAAGACACAGGGTTGTTCACTGGACTTTCACTGGCTAGCTTTCATTAGTGTTAGAGGCTGGCTGAAGTGATCATTAGCTAGAATAAGGCAACATTTTTAGCTGTCTTACTGCAGATCAGTTTGTGTGACTTTTGCTACTTGTTTTGCTAGTCACATCCACAGCTGATCTCTTCTGTCATGTCTTAATAATCATTTACACTTATGTTGAATGCAAAAAAAAATGTTTATGATAGTAAACATTACATTTTATACGAACAACAACAACAATAATAATAATAATAATAATAATAATAATAATGATAATAATACATTTCCATAATATAGTTATATATAAAATTGACATTTCAGATGTGTATATCTTTCTGGCATTTGTTTTCGTCATAACTTCACTCATTATGACATAAATTGATAGAGGCCTACATTTCATTACATTGCAAGTATGCTTTAAATGTTTTCCCTCACTGTGCACAGGTTTATGCATCATCATCCAGTAGTGTTCCTAAGGGGGCATTTTCCTTCATTTTCCTCAATACTTTTTTTTATTATATGATGTAATACACCTTCAGCGTTACAGTTATTTTCCTATATGGTCATTTTCATTAACAGTTAGGGGTAATAGAGGTTACATTGCTACGTGACCACTAAAACATGAGCTGATTTTATTTAATCTGCTAATTTTAGCTGAATTATAAACATCATGTTTGTCAGTAGGCCTACGCATAAACTCAGCAAGGATGTCCTCGGGTGGTGGTTCTTCCAAAAAAGTATTGAACTGAGAAACCCAGTTGGAAGCCATATTCTGTTTCCTTAAGCGGCCCATGCTGACTACCGCCCATTGTGGGCCTTGTCTTTTTTATAAACCGTACTTCCTGTTTTCTGGATTTCTGCTCAGGGGTTTTATACAGTAACTGAAGAAGGGGACACTGCAGCCCTCTCAGAGTAGTGGCCTTTTTACTCTCTCACTAAGCACCTTTATTCACTGACCACTCAAAACTCTTCACAGTCACAGACAGCACACCAACTCATTTAACCATGTTGCTTACTAGCAGGAGGGCTTTATAAATGATTAGACACTGTCTGATAAACCAGCCTCCTGGAGACGTACCTTCCTACAGAGTGGCAAAGGCCTTTTACCAGCTTGTTGAGATGTTGAGTGCAAAAGTGACACCCAGCAAAGTATATGCTAGAGCTTTTAAAGCAAGAAAAAGCTTTTTATCCTGTACATTATCCAAGGCCAGAAATGGAGAGGAGACACAAGACTAAATCTGTGTAAACTACGTTTTCAATTACTGTTACCCTAGTTGATATGCCTGTCAGCTTAGGTAATGTATAATTAACAAGGGCCAAGAATGGATCTTTATGGAACCCCCTTTTATAGTTTCAAAAATTTTAATGGAGACCATAGACACTAATTGATTTTCTTACAGGGTTAACTGTTAAAGCACCTATTTATTCAAAATATGCTGTTAACTGATACTAATATTTAAGTTATACAGTTATGAAAGTGAAGTTTCATCCACATATGGGACCTTGTAGGCATATTCTCCTGAAGCAAATTAAAATTATCTGCAGTTTTTGCTACACCCTGTGGCCATACCCAAATGTTATGGCTCCTTAGGTAGACCTTAGTCATGTCTCAAAGTCAAGGCTAAGCACTCAGCTCAAATTCTGAGACTTTTAGCATGAACTATATCCTGTTCCATTTTGTGCAGGGTACCGCTGCTTTAAGATGGTGATGTTCCTGTCAGGCCTGGCGTTCGGGACTGGTGTTGGTTACCTGCTGTGCCTTAGGGAGCAGTTGCTGGACTCGCCGCTGGACGCAGAGACGCGGGCAGGCATCTCTCTGGGCATTGGCTTGCTGGGTGGACTGGTGACTGTTTTGGTGCGCTGCGTGGGTCTCTTCCTCACCGGCCTCCAGCTGGGCCTCTTGCTCTCTGTCTCCACACTGGTGGCAACTGGACAGTACTACCCCATCTTCAATCCAGTGTGGGTTCCTGTGGGCTCAGTCCTGGGCACAAGCGTGTTCTTTGCTGTGCTAACACTGTGCTGGCAGAAAGCCATGACAATTGTTGCTACGGCGACACTGGGCGCCGCCATTATAACAGCATGTGTGGATTACTGCGTGGAGACGCCAATGGCAGTGTTGCGGGCATATGTGGGGCTGCGGACTGACCAGCAGGAAACAATGTGCTGGTATAGCTGGGCAATGGTGGGAGTGTGGCCTGCAGTAGCTGCTTTGGGGATACTAGTGCAGCGCAAATTCACAGCTAAAGGACTCTCGCACTCTGAGGGTAAGAGCAAGACAGAAATTATATGGTGAGAGAATCCTGAGAAAGCTGAGAATAATCATGTACTACTGTATTTCTTAATCCTGGTCTGTGAGTAACCCTAAACTGCACAATTTAGTGTTTACCCCATTGTACCACACTCATTTTAACCTTAATTATTGTTAATGGAATTCTCAATCAATCTTCTGCTCAGTTTTTTGCGGCACCTCTAACAAGTTGTTGATTATCATGGACAGTAATTTCCTTGTAATTAGAACACACTTCAGGACTTGCCCAAGGGCTTTTAAGCAGTTTTCAGTTCAGTGGGTTTTATGTTCTTTTACTGGGTACCTGGAAGCTCATTACATTTTTTTATTTCTAGTAATTGACTGTATGGAAGTAGACTCAGATTTTTTTTAAATTAATATAATAAAAAATGTTTTCCCTATATATATATATATATATATATAAGTTTACAACTGCCAAAATTAAAAATAGCATTTATACATAATAATTAAAAAAAAAGACATAATTGCTTTTCTACACTCTTAAAAAATATAGTTTTTCAAGGGTTCTTTAGTAAAGACAGTGGTTCTATGTAAAATTGTGTGCTTAAATGGCTCTTTGCACAGTGACAATGGTTCTATATAGCACCAAAAACGGTTCTTCTATTGTTACAAGCTTGACATAGTAACAATAGTCGAATGCTTTTTGGTGCTATATAGAACAATTTTCAAAAATGGTTGAGACTCTCTTAAGAATTCAGTAACAACAATGGAAGAAATCAGCAAATGCGATGAAGCTAATGTGTAGTAAATGTGGGCCTAAATATGGGTCTTAGGGGTTAAATTATTGAATGGCTTACTAAGTTTAATGACTAGTTAGGTGTTAGGTGTGTTACAGCAGGGAAACACTAAAATGTGCAGTTCTGGTGAAGTTGAGAAGCAGGATTATGAAATCTTGCAGTACAAAGTTCAGCACAGAGCGGCACTTTGTGGATAATTTACCTATTAAACTACAATTATGTGGTTATTGTGAAATCACTTGGGACAAGACAAGAAATCATAAGCAAACACATGATCTTTTAATGTCAAACACACATGAACACCTGTGGATCATCAGAGAGACTCATCAAGAGACTCATCAAAGAATCTAAGATGATTATTCAAATGTCTTACAGCACTCATTTGCTGATTGCACTGCTTGTAGCTAGGAATGCTTGATTCTGATGTAGTGGGTGTGCTCCTGAATGGAACACATTATATTATAATCATTTGTGATATTATGTGACATTTATATAATGGCTGTTATGCAAAATAATGTGCTGCCCTACTAAGGATCCTGCAGGTTCCTGTAGAGTGTATGAAAATGTATCCACAATGTTGCTGATGTGAAACCAACTGATCCCTGAGCTCTATATTTAATTCATTTCTAAATATTATTTCTTTGAAAAACAATCACAAATGATCATTGATACTCAGATATCTGCTCAAATATCTGCTCAAACACTTCTTGATAATGAGCTGATGAAAGAGTCAGGTGTTTTAGGGAGTAGGAAAGTCACAAAAATGTGCAGTGCAGGGGTACTTTAGGACCCCTTTAGTGGGAAAGACTAGCTTAAGCCAAAGCTTTAACATATCAGTTACAGGAAAAAACAAAAATGCTCAGGAAGAGCAGACCGAAGGAGTGAAGCTACATTAGCAGTGTTTAGAAAAACAAGATTGTTATCCAAGTACATTGTGTTGTGTTATAAATAATTTTTAGGGATTTGATCCACATTTTCCTAATGTTTCTCTTCCACCTCAGCAAATACAAGTGACTATAGAAACATTTACTGCCTACCTGATCAAGGTGTAACACTGGTCCGGCTCTCTCTCTCTCTCTGTCTCTCTCTCACTGACAGTGATTGTGAGTGGTAAACAGAAGCAGGTTCAGCTGATGAGGATCAGAGAGAAAGATGCCCATCGGCGACCAGAAGGAACATACCGCCGAAGACCCCCACCCCTCAAACGCTATGCAGGAGACGTGCTGGCCCCGGTAACCAATTCTTACTTTCTCACTGCAGTTTCAACATCACATTCAATGATTTGCTATCACAACAATTACTTTCATGAAATTGAATAACTCATCAGCAGAGCCATTATTTCTAGGTACTAAGTAAATATTTTAAGAATTTAGATGTTGTTTTGAGACATTAAGAAAATATTTTGAGAAAATAGGCTATGTCCGTATATGAAGTCAATATTTTAAGAAAAGAAGTCATTATTTTGAGATATTAAGTCAATATTTCAAGAAAATGTCATTATTTCAAAATACTAGGTCAATATTTTGACATACTGCTACCAGAAACAGAAGAAAAAAATCTACATACATACGTAAATACAGATTCAATTGCTGAACTCAGTTGAACTTGATTTAGTTACATGAATGGCATTATGCTGCCACATGGTGGCTGACTTATAAAACTGCACCCAGAATCTTCCCAGAATATATATATATATATATATATATAGTACCACTAGAGAAAATGCTTCTATTTTCCAGTCTTCTGTAATTTAATACATTTTTCACTACAAGTGAACAGTAGAATGTTTAAAATTTTAACATGAATTTTAGAATTTTTTAGTGTTTGTCCATTTGTACAAAGGCCTCAAAATGGTCAGTGTCTTGAAAGTGTTTAAATTTGAGTAGAAATATAAATTTCTTGACATTTCATGAATGTTTCTTCTTCCTTTCATTTGCCATAACTTTTCATAACTTAAAACCTTCTGTTGCAGGATTAAATAAAAACAATCCTAGATTTTCACTACCGTCTCAGACTTTTGAATGCCACTGTATACACACAAACACATATATATAATTGCATGATGTTATTGCCATATATACCACCCCTCCCCCCAATGAAGTACACAGATATCTGATTGTATAGGCTTTAATAATGCCTTCAAACCAGTTGTCTTTTTCTCTAATGACTGTTGCTCACAGCAAACAAAGCAACACTTTCAAAAAAAGGCAAATGACCAAACAGTGCAGAGTACAGTTTTTAAATGCTTTGTCTTATTTATCTCATTACTATCTCTGTCTTTTTGCCAGAGCTACCTGGCAAGCCTGCGCGAGCGGCAGATGAGCACAGGGTCGTCTATGAGCAGCCTGAGCACAGTCCACCACACCATGATCGACTTCGATTACGAGACTGGATCCATGGTGCCTCTGACAGCCTCGTCATCTGCAGTGCTCAGAGTGTGAACACACAGACAGATGCACACACATACAGGCCTCAGACCCAGGGACCTTTATTTTTATGCACTGTAGATTCTGGGGAAGATTCCCTAGAGCTAATTGCCAGCTGAGGTAAACAGACTGCAGGAGTGCTACAGAGACAATGTGTAGACCACAGGGACAAAAGAAGAGAGTCTGTGGAGTCTGCAGCGTCAGCTCAGCACTAAAAACAACACTGGATCTCCTCAGGACTGCATGCATTAATGGCAAAAAGCACAAATACTAACTTAAACCTCAAACACTAACCAATACTTCAAATCAAGAGCATTTAGGAATTAGTACTAGATGATGCTAACTTGTATTCAGATTCAAAAGTGCTGTCTAAGCTGATGAACTGGAAACTGTATTCTGTATTTCGACAGATATTCGGTTTCTAGCCATTATATCACCTTATATCTCTGACCTCAACTGTGAATAAGGTGCTTCATAACCACCTTTATTCGCTTTCTCTGGGGAACTGGTGAAATTTACACAGCTGTATCCCCTTGTGGCTGTATGAATATATTTACCCATCTAGAATGATTTATTTGACACAAAAATAAAACAGTGCTACTCATATATCAGTGTTCTTGAGTTTCATGACTTCCTGTAGGGTCAGCTTTACATGAACGTTCATAAGGAAACATCTAGAATTGCACATTTATGTATAAACACTGCTATTACTGTTATGTCCTAAAGCGCACCTAATCGAAACTTAGCATTACAGTGACAAAGCATAAACCATTAGCATAGCCTAGCTTCAGCCTTTTCTTGTAACAGTATCTAACTCATTTTTGTATGTTAGTGGTCCTGAGTGTACCAGAGGCCACTGAGATTGACTGTATCTTGCTGGGAGTGAAAACACTGGTAAACACTAAATACATAACAGGACACCCTGCATAAACAACCGTCCCTCCACTGTTTTAAAAAGAACAGTCTTTTCCACTTGACATTTCCAACATGGAAATCCTACAGATGCAATTGCATTTGAGTTAGTAAATGGAAGGATCTGGATTGATTACATATTTAGTAAATGGAAGGCTGTGTACAGAATACATTTTTAGGCTAGTTGAATAAAATCTAGATAATATTATTCTGGCAAAAGGCCAAGGCAGTTTTGACAGTCAAGACATAATGACAGTGTACAGTACTGGGCAAATGTCACAGATCATCTTTCATTTATTTTATTAAAAATGTGTGGTCAAAATGACCGTTAAGTACAAGCAATATTTCTGAGGAGATTACATATAAGACATTCCACTTGCATGAGGAAGGGGGAAGCTGAAGGAAAAGATATTGAGAAAAATTGGACAACCGTGCAAGACCTGGTCGACCACCAACACTGTCACCATTAGATAAACCTTTCTTAAAGCTTTCATCTTTGAGAGAGAGGAGAAAATCAAGCTCCACTCTTGCTTTAGATCTGAAAATATTCAAATGGTGCTTCTGTCCATTGTTCCACTGTGAGAAGACAATTCAAAGGGTCTGAAAGGATGTGTAGCTTTCAAAAAGCCCTTACTGAGAAAAGGAACCATAAAAATGAAGAAGAAATGCATTAGAACACCAAAATGGAAAATCTGAGATGTGGAACAAGGTTTTGTGGACTAATGAGTGTCATGATCTGACAAAAATGTAACCAACTTCTAAGACTAAACTTTTGGGTGGAAAAATATCCCGGCATGTTTCTTTAAAAGGCCGAAAACAAGTCTCCTGATCAGAAGGGAAGCTGTTAAAAAGGCAAGGGGTGGACACACTAAATATTGAACAAAATTATATTTCATTGTTGATGGTTCTGTGTAATTTTCTGTTAAATATGTTGTCTGCTTTTTTCCTGATGCCTAAAAATGAATAACCTGTACTTAATGGCCATTTTGACTGTAAATGAATGAAATGAACTGTGGTTTCTAACTTTTGCACAGTACTGTACATTCATAAAATGTAAAATAATACAAGGTCTACAATAAATCTGTGCTCAATTTTCTTAATAATGACTCAAATGTCTTATGAAGGCTAAGTATTAGATTTGTTTTTAATATATTTCTGACTATAGTAATATGCATTGCAGCCCTCTAGTGGGTTAATTCTCACACTGCATCCAGCGCTCTCTCTTGCTGAATGGGTAGCCCTTCTCTATGAAGCCCCTGGGGTTTATACGCCAGTACTGGTCTCCTTTAAACACGTAAGTGTAGCCATTAGTCCAGGTGAATGCTGCGTCTGGGCTGGACGGTAACCCAGTAACAAGATCTGAGAGACGTTTAGGATAGTGCTTGAGTTCATTGCTGGAGCTCAGTTCATCCCATTGCCAGTACACTGAACCCTGAGAGAAAGAGACGAAGAGAGAAAACAATAAATCAGCTGGTTTATGCTAGTCTAGTGCTGGTCTGGTGCTACTGTAGCTGGCCAACCAGCATCGTCATTAAATAAACTTAAAAAACTTACTAATATGTTTTCTGGCACTATATCATACACACACACACACACACACACACACACACACATGCACATATATATATATATATATATATATATATATATATATATATATATATATATATATATATATATATTACTGAATCGATTCACAAATGTCAAAAATCGATTTTCTAAATATTTGATCTATATCGTAATGTTGACGGAACGCAAAAGGCGGAACTTGGAAGTGGGTAAGTGCAGCGCCCGGACACTCTGTGGTGGCACATAACCAAAACACTACTGGATGAGTGAGAAATCCGACCGGCAACCTCTGCGTTAAAAGCCAGGTTAGGTCAGGAGTCACAGTACAAATGATAAGAAGAGCCATTTTGTCCTTTCAACAAAAATCAAACCACCTTGGGAGCCGCAACATTTAATGTACAGTGTGTGATAATGTCCTAGTATAGGCTAAACAATATAAACGAAAACGCTGACTTACTTTGCTCTGCTTCAAGCTTTAACTAGTTATAGCCGCTTTCCTCCCCTTTCCACCAGAGAACGTTTCCTTAAAAGTAGACCAGTTTCATGTAAAATGTCTCTCATCGTTCGACTGTTTTATGAGGCTGAAGTCGCTTCTCATTCTCCAGCTTCTTGTTTGAATTTTCCCGTTCCACCTTAAAGTCTGCCTGAGGTGCCGAATGTAATTGCGGCACCGTTTAAGGTGGACCGGGAAAATTCGAAAGAGAAGCGACTTCATCTTTGCGACTTTTAGTGTGTGACAGTCTCTCGTTGCAGAAGTCCATTCGTCTCCAAATGTTCGTCTTAAATCTGTGCCGTTCGCTACTAGCCAGGCGAGGCTTCGTTGCTAAGTGACCTGCAGTCTGCAGGCCAGTTCTCAGCGGTTGAGAACAAGGGCTTTCGCACTATGTTTCACACGTGCCGTCTCGAAGATATTTTACTGACACAGCGATCCCCCCGAACTCTCTACAACGAGACCAAAACCGAAGTTAGAAAATCACCAAAAAAACGAGTAGAATAGCTGTAATCTGCTGCATGGACATCCATTACCACGGGATCTTATTTCACCCTAACAGCGCATTTTATCACAGATAAGTGGCCGCAGCGTCTCATGTGCTCCAAACAGCAGTGAATGAGTGCCTTCAAGTTCACTTGCCACATCACTTCCATTTGATTTATTAATAAAAGATATTGGAAATAAATGCATTATGGATCATTACAAATACTTCGCTTTAAAACTACCAAGTCCTAACACAGTAGGAAAATAGAAATCCTGTATAGCAAAAAAAGATGCATCAAGATGCCTCGATGATCGTTTTTATAATCGCATCGCAGCCCTCTGAATCGTAATCGAATCGAATCGTGAGGTGCCTAAAGATTCCCACCCCTAATATATATATATATATATATATATATATATATATATATAAATGGGTAAAATGTTAAATATCTACATTGCAGCCACCTCTATTATTATAGATCACACACTGTCCGACACCACATAAGCAAGACTATTTCAGATTTTTTAACAATTCAACGCTGTCTGAGGCAAATGAGTGATGATGAGTTAGGCTAGCAGTTTGCACAGTGCTTGTTAGTAATGGAAGCATATATACTGTCCAGTGCAAAACTAAATGTGTAAATTTCATTTAATACCTAACAATCTGACAGCACACTTTACCATAATATTAACACTAGTTAAAACCTAGATCTCCATGAACATATTCCACATTTTAAGGATCTGTTGCTGTACAAAAGAATGAAAATGAACAGATGCGATCAGGGGCCGTCTGGTGTTTTGGGGGGTTTACCTTGATAAAAATGAGGTTTTTATTGCCATTGGCGTAAAAGGCTGAGTCAATGTTTGCAGGTATAATGAGCTGTTTTGGGAAGCCGTGGTCCAATTTAAAGCCAGAATACCTCCACAGTTTCTCACCTAAAAGGAAAGGCACTGTTAGAAGGTCAGCGAAATGTGGAACAAAGCAGTCCTGTTTAATTGAACTTAGCACAGCACAGTGTAATGTTGAATTAAAGTAACTGGATTCATAGTTTTTGATAGTATTTTTAAAATGTTGCACTACTTTGTCTGTCCTAACTTAGATGTCAGAAAAATAAATATATATAGACATTATGTGTCATGAAAAAACCTTGAAGTATCATGATTTTTCATTTTGCCATATCGCCCACCTCTACCTCTTGGTTTGTTTCAGGGTTGTTTCTTACTGTTTTAATTGGGACTCAATTCTGTCAGAGAGCTAAATCAGACAGCCTACTTCACTCATTTACAAATGTGACTGCTGAATACCTGAATTTGGATTTTCTGCCTGAGGACACGCATCTCCATTCAAATGGCACATTATGAAATGCAATCAAATGAATGTGTCATGCTGTAGGTGAAAGGTGACCGTCTACCCTTAAGGAAGTAGGATTTATTGGTCCTCTGGGAATGCACCGCAGCGTTTAAGTGACCGGGCAGTTCTTTCCAAAGGACGTTAATCCGTATGGGTGTGTTATAGCCGGCATCTGATATTGTCCAGACATAATCTCCACTGAATGCAAATGTCTTGTGGAGAGGCCCTGTGTGGGAAAAAACTTTGATCACTACATATATCATCTTGAAAAGCCATTCAATTCATAATTAATCAAATCATAAAGTCTTGAAGCTAAATTTTTGAAGGCTGTTCAGGTTTAATTTCATCACTGCCTTAGATTTGAATTACTATTATCTAATCATGTGTTGGCATACCGTGGTAATGTTTGGAGACAGTTTGAAGATATTAAAAAAAGCGGATACCACCAAACTCTACATTAAAGCTTAGCTTAGTTTGAATTCAGTCTGCTACAATTCTGCTGCTCTTTACCCTGTTAAAGTGCTAGTATGTGACCCACACTGCATAATATACATATTAGTTTATAGTACTCATTATAATAACTGAATAGCAAGCCTAGGGTTCAAGTATTTCATGATCAGAGCAGGAACATTTCTGTACATATTTCTGTTACCATGACCTCAATTCCACAGAAATGTCAGGGACAAGATGTCATATTCACATGTACAATGTACAGGGTGGTGGTTGGATATCTGGTAGACTACAATGTCTTAGACTAGCGCTTTTCTTTACCCAGCATTATAGCATCCAGCGACGCAGTGCATGGATCAGGAGCAGATGAGTCAGCTGCTGGCTTATATGGCACTGCAGGGGCCACTGAGGACTTTTCCACAGGTTTACCTGAACCCAAACAGAAAAGGAAAATAAAGACATGGTGAGTAAAACCTTTCTCTCAAGGTGACAGACTGGGGTTTGATTCCCTGCCCGGGCAAACCTGAGCAACTGCACAGCACTATACCAATAGAATGCCTTGGGCTAGAGTCTTTAACGGCACATTTGCCTACCTCTGTGGCATGATTAGCTTGTAAGATACTCTGAATAAGATCATCTGCCAAATGTATAAATGTAAATTGTGTAATACTATCTAATACTTTCAATTTTACTATGATTTATATTTATTAATGAATATAAAACTATAATATTTTAAATCATGATGAGTCATTTAAATAATATAACAGTTTGTGCTCTTGTATCATGGGTGTTTTCATGGAACATACACAAACTATACTACTAAGACACTGAAAAACAACAGTCATATTTCCACCTTCCATCTAAAGGCCACAAAACCCATTGAAAGCATGTTGTTTAGAAAGGCCAAAAGCTTTTTTTTTAAATACATTGAACTTGTCCTTGGAAATATGCCCGTTTAAACTAGTACCCGGAAACTGCATTTATAAGTTCATTAAGTGATTACTGTAAGGATTTCGGGATTATGGCTTATATAAGTGTGCAGAACAGAAGCACTGATCTGGAGATTCTGTAATGAATTCCAAGTGTGAGATTCAGTCCTGACCCCATTCTCACCATACAGTGCCTGAATACCGCGGATGTCGTCAGGGTGAAGTTTGAAGTTGTCACGGTAACCAGTGTACACAGGGCCCATAAGAGCGCTGCGGTACTGAGAGTGGCCCAAACCCAAGGCATGGCCAATCTCATGGGCCGCCACAATTCGAAGATTTGACCCAGACCTCTGCCCCTCAGTCCACCTTTCATCTGCATCGAAGTGCACATTGCCAGACTCCGGACTGTCAGCGTGAGCCAACACCTCACCTGCAGAAACACCACAGCAGCTCTGCATTACGCTGCACACTGTTTATGTGTCAATAGATCATTGAAATCAGTCAGTTCAGGTTTAGAATGCATTGCCAATATGTTATATAAATGCTGCCAATATGTTATATAAGTGCAACAGGCATTCCCATCTAAAGCCCTTGAAACCCCTTGAAAAAAATTGCTTTAGAAAAGGTTTTATAGGGAAATATGACCTTGAGTCACTTGAAATACTTCACGATTCTGCAGTGGGGACTAAAACAAAGCCTCTACTGCAGAAGGAATCAGTATGACAAGTATCTCTCCAGGAATCCAGTCTTTGCCATGAACATCAATTACAGTCGTCCAGGCTTTTTCTCAATCTTTCTTTCCCTCTCACCTGGTCCATCAAATGGTACGGGGCAGGATTTGTCCCTCCCGTGAAAGTAAATTTTGATGTCAGGGTATCCCTTGGTGATCTCATGGAAGCGAAGAGGCGAGACTTCACTCCAGTACTTGAATGCTGTCTGTATGGCTGCCCGTGTTTTAGCCATTCCCAGATTGGAAGCATGGTTATAGATACGGTAACTCAGTTTCTTCTTACGCCAGTGACCTACCAGGGTACAAATCAAATCAGTCGCTTGTATGTAAATAGCTGAGGGAATTTCACAAAGCACTGTTCAGTTAGCTAGCCAAACCCAAACTAAGCCCAAAGTAAGGACTGTCCAAAATAAGAGCAGCTAAAAGACATTCCTATAGGACTATCCTCACTTTTAGCCAAAAGCAATGGCTCGGCCAAAATAAAGTTTACACAGTTTTCTCCTTTTCCCATATGAGGTTGATCAGCCAAGACGCGTTTGGTGTCTGAAGTTTCTTTTTATAATTTTGCACTGAAGCTACAAAGCTAATGTTGCTAATGTTAAATAATGAAATATTTAGCCACCGGTATAGCATAATGCAAACGAAATGCCTGAACCACATCAAGTTGTTAACCTCAAATAGACTTGCTTATGTGGTTTCTGATACCTTATGATATAATCTATAAATTACAAAAGTATGGTGAAAATTAGTCGTTCAAGATGGCTGCTGTTTTTAGCTATGTGACATATTGTCCATGTTTATAGATATCAGTATGTCATACATTGTTAGAAACCTACGGAGCCCTGCCGCGTAACATCCCGTATAAATAAAAATAATGCGTAGCCGCACTGTATTAATGCATGGAAACGAGATCCTAATGCGTGGCCACGAGTTAGTGAGGTGTGGGAACAAGATAATTAAGTCATGGCCACAACAAAGTAAGGTGTGGGAACAAGATCATTCCTTATTAAGCTGTGGTAAAGTCTTAATCATCTCATTCCCATGCCTTACTAGGTCATGGTCATGCATTAGGATCTCGTCCCCGTGTCTTACTAAGTTGTGGCCATGACTTAATCATCTCGTTCCCACGCCTTACTAAGTCGTGGCCATGCGTTATTTATTTATACTGGATGTCACCAGCAGGGCTTCGTAGAAACCACATTAGCAAGTCTATTTGAGATTACTTAGCATAGTTTGGGCGAACTGAAAAGTATGTGATGATTTAAGCATGCAGTTTATACTGTGTTAAACTGGTGGCTATAAGTTTCCATTCCTTGTAAGCTACTTTAGCCTTGTACCTCCAGTGCAAAAATAAGGAGGCAAACATTGGATGCCACCCATGTCCTTGCTGATCAACTACATTTGGAGCAAAGAGGAAAACAGCACAAATACAATTTTGGCTTAACTATCGCTTTATCGTACTGATAAATTCTACTTTGTGAAACATGCCTCTACAAAAGAGCTCCTTTTAACTATAAACAGAGCAGTGAATTAAGCACCCTCAACAAATATGAATAGGGGACAGTTTGGTATCTTCATCATACATCCGACCAGTATGACCACTAAGAAACTCCAGTGTAATAGCAGCCACCAATAATAAAACCAAATCTGGTAACAGAAAATATAAGGCTATGTCAGGTTCTCACCCAGTATGCGGTATTTGAGGGTCTTTTTGTTGAAGGGGTCCTCAACACCACAGCGTGGCTGTTTCATCATGGTCAGCGTAGCATTATCCAGCCAGCCAGTGACTGGTAGGTCCATCACTTTCTGGAATATTCTAATAAAGGAAAAGAGTTCAGAGAAATTAAATCTCTGTGGTCGTGTCTGTTTGAGGTAAGAACATTAATCTAGATCCAGTCTGACCACGTTTCATGTTCTCTTCAAACAAAAAACAATGTTAGGTCATATTGCTCTTGTTAAGGTTTGATCTATGTGACTTGTAGATTCATTCAGAGGCACTAGATCCTTGAAAATAAAGGTTCTTCACTCTCAGGTTTCTGTATAGCACCAGCAAAAGGTTCTAAAACTTTTTTCTATAATCTTTTTAGTGCTAAAAATAGGGTGTTTGAAGAGCCATAAGCAACAGGTTTTCCATCATAGAGAGGGACCATTTAACCATACAAAGAAATAATCCATACGTTCACATAGTTCTTGGAGTGTTCACAGTCCTATAAAACCATTGCCTTTACTTAAGAACCTTTGAAGAACAATTTATTTAAGGGTGATGTACGGTTCTAAACCTTTAAGTGGAACCCTTACATTTTTGCATTTTTACATTTTTAACACTCAAACGTCTCATCTACAAAAAAAATCTTTAAAGAAACATCCTTCGACAGGTTCTGCACACTGTTAATGCACACTGAAATTTTCTCACAACTGGACTGAATCTGTGTGAGAGTGAGGCCAAGCCAAGTGCCTCCATGTTCTACCGTCTGTTAGAGTGCTAATGAACTCATTTACAGGAGTAGCTTGATTTTAAGAGAGTTTCTGAGTATGTTATTCCAATCTCATGCAGTCAAATGGGATCATCGTTGATGAGATTGAAGGCAGCTAAAACGTTCTTACAGAATCTTAATTCTGACTGAAGTGGACACTTACAACTTTGTGAAGCAAAGTGAGAGAAAGTGAAGAGAGTATGGAAAGAGGATGAGTGTGTGCATTACCTAAGTGCCTCGGTTAATTGCTCCATTTGGCCTTCTTGCTCTTTGGGATGAAGAAGTGATGTAGGTAGATATCCATATCGCTTCAGATAGGACTGAAAAGGGAAAGATTTGGAGGTAACCCTTTTTAGAGATAATTTAAGATCATTAAAAATGCGTCTAGTCCTCCAAAATGCACATTTACTTTAATATCAAACATCAAATTAAACAATTTCAGTCTCCAATCTATAACAGTTCACACTGTAGTGAATAGAAATGAGACAAGAATTAGAATTAAAAGATTCAGGTCTTACTGTGGCCTGCTTCAGTTCCTCTTTGTGCAGTGCAGCATACAGTGGCATCCAAATCAGCACCAGAAACAGCACACGGCCCATCTTCAGTGACTGACACTTCCAATTATCAGTGCAAAGCTTTCTCGGCTTTCACGAAATTCCAAAAGTCAAAGAATGCAAATGACCTCGAGGAAGGAGCCCGAAAACTTGCAAATCTAACTAATTTCCACAACCAGTTCCACTGAGCTGGATGAATGTTGAGCAGCCAGTCCTTGTTTGTGCACACAGATTTGTCTCTAAGGGCCCAAATCTGATGTTTGTGTTTGTCCTCCTTTTTGTTTTGCTCGTTCTCCGACTCTCTGGGGAGTGTATGTTTGTATTTATACCCTTTGACAGGAAAGGCGGTTAGTTTTTTTCCCGCTGTGTTCTCCATCAGCGAGGAATGCGACATGGGACGAGCCATCCTTCAGGAGGGCAGGTCCAGCACATTGACAAATTAAGAAGTCCTGCTGTAGCACTGTTAAAGGGCTCATATCACGGAAAACCCGTTTTTTTCTGTGTTTTACTATCAGTCTTAAAGGCATAGTAACAAAAATAGCCTGTTCTAAGGAATAAAGAGAGGTTGGAACGTGGTGATTCACTTTAAAATGTAATACTTTGTATATTTTTCTTGTAATTTTTGTACATATACATATATCTTTATATTTTTATTGTTTATTCTATTTTATATATTGTTTGTATATTTCCTGCTGCTCTGTCTTCTGTGCTGCTGTAACACCGCAAATTTCCCCGTTGTGGGATTAATAAAGGATTATCTTATCTTATCTTAAAATTTGTTTAACCCATGATCATGAAACATCTCCAAGTTCCAAACAAGCCCCAAAAAGATGGGCTACATTATAAGCCTTATATTATATCACTTTATTATTTTAAAAGACGGAATGAAGGGGACTCTCATTCCTTAATGAAAGTCTGGAAGACTGCCTGCTCTAAAAGTTGAAGTTGGTTGGCCTTCCCTTTTAGCACGTTTGTAGACAGATGGAAAATCGTTCAATAACTTCCCACACAGCTTACGCAATTTAGACAATAAAAAGTGTTACAATGAAAAATCCAAATTAAAGTATGGAATTCTACCCTTTTATGTCTCTATATAACAGTCTCTCAAGCTCCATAAACCACGCTAATATGTGGTCATTTGTATGGCTGCCGTTTTTGTCTCAATTATGCTGTTCTGTGGGATATTTTCTAAAGCAAGTTATGTACTACATAACATGCAAAATCTGAAATGCCAAAAAGTAACTGTTTCTCTTAGAAACTGTTTAAGGAAACCAATGACCACAAAAAGTATTATGTATTTACATATTTTGCTTTGGGGTGGATTTTGGAAAAATTCTGCAACATTGTTGTAAAGGTTCCGGTTATTTCTCCTTGTGTTTTAGTTGAATTTTGTTCAATATTAATGAGTCTATAACACAAACAGAAGCACATATACGGTACTTTATATACCTGGTCAAGTGGCACATGGTGTTTTTTTTTAAGTGAAAATAAGTATCATGTTCACCAAGTAAATAACACTATACAGAGAACATACTTCTGCACATTTTAATGCACGGTTAGTGTTTATTTGGCCTGTGCAAATGTATATTTATTTATTTATTTATTTTTTAATATATTATACTCAAATAAATAGAACTTTCTTTCACCCAAACAAAATCAACAAAACATGTCATTTGATCAGGGCTGTCCAAACTTTTGCATATTGCTGTATGTAAACAGTGAATCAATGTAATATTTTTAAATTGTGGTATTAATTTATATGCTACGAATGAAATGAAGACAACTGCAGAATACCAAGCAGTTTCATATATTCCCCACCCCAAAATGACTGCTCTGGATCTGGTGTGTTGGGTCAGAGAACATTGGAAGCTGTTTGAGGCAGGCGGCCTGCAGAACTGGATCAGAAGTAAAAGGGGTTGTTGGGTCAATAACGCTAAAAAGCAGTAAAAATTGATGCCCATGGTGGAATTTTTTGCAACACTCACAAAAAATACCTCAAATTTGAGTCTATTTGTCCTATATTGATTTGGTGTAACATGTTTATCTCCAAAAAACTTTTCATTCATTCATTGCTTGCTTGCTCCACAAAGCAATGTTGTTTAATTTTGGCACACTGCAATAATAATCATCCAGAAAATGACTTTTTTTCCACCACAAATGATGCCAAGATATAGTTTAGTGTGTGGACTGTTGGGATATGGTCTTAGTAACATTTAGTCACTAAAACAAAGTGCTTTCAATGCTGTAACAGAGGATCTCTGATGGTAAAGAAGGAGAACCAACAGCTATAATCATATCCAGTCAGGCAGGGTTTGTCCTATGCCATATATCTGCTGATGTCTCTCAAAATATCTTCCATGCCTCTCTGTCATATTTGTGTGTCACACATTACTATTTCCTTACATAATCATTATTTGTTAGGGAAATAAATTTGGTAACACTTAAATAATCCAAAGACTTTGCATTCACAGCTGACAAATAGGGTATACTGCTGTCAAACAGACACCACAACCATCATAACTCAAGTTTAACCATCAAAACACAATGATGAACAGCATCAACAAGCACATCTACTACGAAGGTTTTAGAATAAAGAGGGATATTTCTGAAAGACTGCGGTTGCATGGTCTTGCAGTCTGTATCTTCCCCCCATGTCTCAGTCTTCTCATCTTCTGTGACAGGATGTTTTTTTAATTGTTTATGTATAGCTCAGCCAGAAGAAAGTGCAGCGGTGGTCACAAATCACAGTACATGAGTCCTGTTCTTTAACAGAGGAAACTGTGAGGAATGGTGGGAGTTTTAGTGGATAGCTTTTTCCTGCCCCCCCGCACACAGACAGACAGGAAGTCCAGAATATGACATCATCCAGCAGGTTTATGGTAATCACTAGTTCATGTGTCAGCGCTTGGTTGTATAAGGTTAACCGTCCTTTAAAACCCACATCTTGAGTGGAAACAGGATGAATCATTCTAGAGGTACTGAGTTTATAGCAGTGTCAGCATGTTTGAAACCCACCTGCTTTCATAAAGCTGGGCTGTGGACCTGGCAACTGATTATTTTATGCAAGAGACAAAATATGATTCCGAATACCTACTAGTTACATTACTGTTCAAACCTGCCTTTCATTTACTTAATCTATGCTCAAAACAGCCATTAAGTACAAGGCATTCATTTTTCAGCATCAGGCAAAAGAGAAAATATATAATTTAACAAAAAAGAAAACACAGAAGCCTCAACTACTAAATATAATAGGATTTTTAGTTCAGTATTCAGTGTGTCCACTCTTTGCCTTTATTACAGCTTCCATTCTTTTCAAGAGACTTGCTTTTATTTTTCAAAGAAATCTGCAAGTATAATTTTTCACCCCTTTGAAAGACAAATTTAAGCGTACTTTCAAAAGTGTCTTTAATGTGAAAAGTGCACATTTTAATGTTTACATTTTAAACTGACTTTGTTAGTTACTACATGTATTATTTAGGAGCAACTTATGAAAGTATTTCAATTGTAATAAAGCATTGATTTAATATAAATTAATAATTAATGTAATATAATAGTATAGTATAATAGTATAGTATAATATAAATAGATTTAAGCATGTCATTTATATAAATGTCATTATAATTATGGATGTACTGAGACACTTCAGTGATAGTGACTTAATTATACTGCAACTAAAATGCACTTAAATGCATTTTAAATGACATTGCAATATCACTAAATAAATGTGGATATTTAACAAATGCATTTGGGCGTACTTTTATAAATCATAATCAAATATTCACTCAAATACATCAGTAGGAATAACTAGCCCTAATTTCCTTTAACTTAGAAACACATCTTTGATGCCTACAAGTGCTTTTCTATCCTAAAGTGAAACAACTTCTGTTGCAATTAAGTAAACTTGAAAAATTGTGAAGACAAATTCTACTACTATATTCTACTCTCTCTCTCTCTCTCACTCTCTCTCTCTCTCTCTCTATATATATATTTACATAAAATGCATGGAATAAAAATGTATTTTTAATATTCTCTATATACTTAAGTATGCTTCTTTTTCACAAGGGACACCACCAGTTCAGTCTTAGAAGTTGCATTTTTTCCCTCTCACAATCCAGATTACAAATTTAGACTCACCAGTCCATTAAACCTTAGTCCACATCTAGGTCTAGTTTTAATGTTCTAGTGCCACATTTCCATTTGTCAGTAGGGCTTCTTGACAGCTACACATCCTTTCAGACCCATAGTGTTGAGTTGTCTTCTCACAGTGGAAGGATAGACAGGAAGGATTTTTTCCAAAGATGAAAGTAAGTATTTGCGGTCTACCAGGCACAGTTTCACATATGTCTTCCTTATGCAAGTGGATTATTTTATATCTAATCTCCTTAGAAATATCCCTTTTAGCCATTTAGAAGAGAATGAAATCTGAGGGCAGGTAAGGTGTGTTTGAGTAGTTGCTTGTGTGAATGTGTCTCTGTGAAGGGGAACATAACATCCGCAAAACTTCTGGGAGATCTTTTTGTTTGGAGGATACAACTGTAACTTCCTGGTTTTAAGACTGGAAGGATGGAGGAGTTAAAATTCAGTAGGGTGAACTAATTAAATACTGATACTGATTTTATATTATACCCTGTTTTGAAGGCTTTGGTGTAACTTTGTTTCCTGCTTTTTCCTGACACTGAAAATTGAATATCTTTTACTTAATGGTTATTTTGACTGGAAATTAAATCTGTAATTTTTGCACAGTACTTCATGTTACACTTCCGACATTCTAAAATTTCACTTTAATTGAATAATACTGGTTTCATCTTTGACTACTCCATTGATCAGCCATTTGCTATGGCAGTGGTTCTCAAACCTGCACACAGCGACCCCCAGACGGTCCACATTTTGCAAGTTGGTTTGGAGAAAAATTATGGACCTTCAGGGATTCCTGAGAACCTGTATGAGAACCACTGTTGACTCACAATGGACAATGTTTCTCCACACTGACCACATGTGCATTTGATTTCTCCACTTCACTATCAGTCATGTTAAGCAGTGTGGGAGACATTCCAAACATCTGAGAGTTGCTAGCTTGCAGCAAGACATCAGAGGCCAAGACAACTGAGTGGTTAGATCATTCTGCTGTTTTCTTACATGATGCTCCTCCTGTAACTCACACAAATGTTCTCAATTCCCCTTTGCTTTCAGGACTCCAAAGAGCTCACAGTAACCCAGAAGTCAGCCAGTTACATATTGCATAAAACAGTTGCCAGTTTATTAGAAACACCTACCTTGTATCCACACTTACT